CTGTGGAACCTATGCGTTGCTGATCTGCCGGTAGATAACATTGCAGGGCAAACGATATTACAATACGCAAATGATTTTTGAATTACTACTGAATCCAAACAGCAAAACACAGCCATCATGAGAGCAAAGTTGGTAGTGGAAGGAATTTGGAGTACTGTAATCGGTGGGGGTTTACTTAATAATCTAATAATCAATTTTGGCTCAATCTTAACAAAACAGTAAGCATGGACGGTTTCATTAAAAAACGAATCTTAAAGGCTAATCGATCAGCTTGCGCTCTGTCTCCAGTAATTGACTTCAGCTCAAATATTTGTATAAAAGTGAAATTGAAAATAATTGCAGCATGCATCTACCCGGGACTAACATACGTACTGCTTCTGTTGTCACGCATAAGTAAAGGTGGCATTCTTAAATTAGAGAGGTGCTTTGAAAAGATATGACGGGTGAAAGGCAAAAAAGGCGAATGTCACAAATTTGATGTTTTGTAGCTAGAACCGGTAACCTGTAGTCTTAACCCAGTGCAATCCCATGAGGTATCGGAAACATGCAAAAGCAATGACAGTCGGTAGTTATACCCAATTGAAAACTTGCCGTGCAGGGAAAAAAAGATGAATGTCACAGCCGTTGTATGAAAAGAAGACGAACGTTCACTGTTTGTCACCGGAACTAGCAGCTACTACAACAATTTACCATACACCAATCTGCGACGAAAAAAATAATCGTTAAATAAACATTTTTAAGCAGTTATCATTAATTTTGTTTTGTTTGTTCTATATTCTTTGAATAAAGTTTTTTGGGTTTATTTTTTTCTTTTCCCAATAAAAAAAATGTTTAGAAATAATTCAGTGTTTGAGCTATTGAGGTTAGAAAGTCACCTTTTTCTTTTGTTCCAGGCCCTGTGTAATAAATTTTCTGTTAAAGTTGTTCTCATATTAGAACAGGTCGTAAAAGTGAGATAGGCATTCTACTGCTTAATCAACCCTTAGATTTTACAGGGTGACGCATACAAATAAAAGCTCATTTCTAACCTCAACATCTCAAAAAAGTTGAATTCAGGTATGAACGCTAACACATCAAAAATGTTTAAAATCGAAAAGAGAATCTCAAAATACAAGGATAAAAAGGATTTACCATTAAAAATGTTTGGTATGACCTTGTATATCAAAACAATTTTTTTTCTATTTATAATTTAACTTTTTTTCAATTCCTTATAAGTCCTCAAACTTTTGAATTCAGTTTTCTCAGTACTTACTTTTTGTGACGTTCTTCTTTTTTCCCCTGTACCCTTCATATATAAATGAGCCGGGCAGTTCCTCTACTGCATCGCAGATGACATACTTTGGAAGATGCTACAGAAGGTCGCTTGGCAACACGCGTGAATCAGGCGCATAAGGAATTTCTTAAAAACATCGAGAAAGACAAATCAGTGAAGCCGATGTTATCAAAGTAGATCATCCCACCAGCCATCCAAACTAGCGATGTCAAATCCAGCCTCCAAAAACCAAGCGTATTGTGCACTATATATCATTATGATAATAATACAAAGTAAAATGCTTTCATCGTACATCCTCCATCCTCCTCGTATTTCACCCCTTTCCTAAGAAGCGTATATTTTGGATGCATAAAGAAGCAATATATTTTTGTTTTTTATTGTTTACAACTATTAGGCATCATCTGTAACATAATTTAGATGAAATAAAGGTTTCTAGGTGTTGTATTTGTTGGAAATTGATTCATGGCGAAGAATATTGTTTCTTATAATTAATGGTAGGTATACCTAAATGAAATGAAATGCGCTTTTTAGATAAAACAAACTTAATTGGCAATACATGTAATACGGAACTGGAGTTAACTCCACAGCAGTCTATTTTAACTTTGAACACCTAAAATTGAATTTGATCTGCGAAAGTCCCGATAATACCAGGCATTCCTCCTCATTTGACAGCTGCTTCCTAAATTCTCGGTATTTCATTCCCTATTCCATAATGAGTATAGGTTATGCATACACTGCTTTTCAAAAAGCACCCCTCCCTAGTACTAATTTTTGGGTCAAGTTAGCAAGCTGCAATTGATGCACGAATACTACAATTTAGCATGAAAGTGACAGTTAAAAATTCAAAATTGGCAGCTGCGCGCCACCTTGATACATTTCTTAAATCGAACAGGGGGGGGGGGGATCACGCGAGACCTGGCTTCAAAGCTTCTCAATGTCGACGCTCTTTGAAGGGAATCGAAGCGATTTGTGTATTACGAACATGTCATTCAACAATGTTTGACAATGAAGTCAGAGACAGTCACATATCAGGCATAGTCAAATAACATTTTCATGCATCCAAGTCGCTTCCTCTCAATGAGCGGATGACTTTACAATCCTATATTTTATCTTTCAAAACAGCAGAGTGACACGCTGTCAAAATTTAGTGTTTTTGTACATGACTTATAACCCATCAAGCGATCATCAAAATGCTGGCCTGACCGAATATACAGTTGAGTCATTAATTTTCAGATAATGATTGTAGAAGAACCAAAATATGTGTGTAAAAATAAAAAAAAATTAAAAAAAAATGTTTACCTTGTTTTATAAAGTATCCTCCCGACAAGTATTTCAGTGCGGACCTGTATTTGATCGTGAGGTCCCCTGTGAGGTCTTAAGTCACCTGATTCACGAGCCCGTTGTACTACATTAACAAAGGCACGAGGGGTTGGTTGCACTCGATTGGGAAACCGATCCGCATAAACATGTGCCATTTTTTATTTCGTTTGAGCCACGCAACAGACACTATTCACACGCGACTGACACTGACTGTATGTATAACTGAACTGAATAACATAATTGTAAAAACATCGTTCCAAATTCCTTCGCTTTTTTGTTTCCGATGCGATGAACCGATAAGGCGGATTATATCCGTTGTTGCCAAACACGAGCACATGATATTATTGAGACAGGGCGGTACTCAAACTTCCAAAGGGCTATAACTTTGTTACTTTAATTTTACCAGAAAAATGGTAAAGGAAAAAAACATTTCTTTTGATCAGATCTACTCACTGTTAAAATAAATGACTCATCTTCGAAGTCACCCTGTATAATGTATAATGAAATATAGGATAATTTGTCATAACCTGCATTTTTTTAAAAGTGGTCACCTTATTATTGTTGAGACAGATTCTTCCAAAAGAAGAAGGTTGATATAAATTCTATGGCCTTGAGTTGTAGTGGTTCGGGGAAATACGTATGCCCTGGACAGCAAAGCGTGGTGTGTCGCGCAAGCGCTTCTTTTAACCCGCTTATCGTTTAAGTTTTTTTTGGGCATGATCCGGTATCAGAAAATTACAAATGACGTGTATTCCGAATTCGATGTCTCATCTCCTGACAAGAACCTACGGCAAAGTTATAAGCTGTTCAATGAACGATAACATCGATATTTGGAAGCCTGCCAGTCATCAAGTTATAAAGGGTGTTCCAAAATTAGCGCAAGTTTTGAATTAAATAGAAAACGCAGCTTTAAATCTTTAGATTGTTATTTTCTATTGAACTATAAAGTACTTAGGATAAGGTTATGTATCGAATACCGCATCGGGCAAATGGCCTCCGCGGCTTTGCTGGCACATGCGCACTCTTCTGTTGAAATGTTTTATGACCTTTCTGCGTAATGGTGGCTGAATTTCATTGATGCACCGTTTATGTGATGCAAGGGTGGCTGACATAGACCTTTGACCTTCAATAACCCCATAAGAAGAAATCTAATGGTGTTAGATCACACGAACTAGGCAGACAATTCCACTAGCTGTATGGCATGTGGCACCGCTTTGTTGAAACCACATATTGGACGCATCCACAGAAGAACTGGATTGTCATGTCGCGATATCGAGCACCAGTAAGTTGCTGCTTCACCAGCCCAAAGTATGGTCCAATGATGCCTTCAGCCCAAAATCCGCACCAGACAGTGACACTTTGTGGGTGCATTTGTTTTTCGACAATCACACGTGGGTTCTCCGAATCCCAAATACGGTAATTTTGGCGATTAACAAAGCCATCAAGATGAAAATGTGCTTCATCGCTTAGAATGATTGTGCTCGAAAAATCAACATCCACTTGTTGATGTTCAATAATCCCTTCGTCGAACTCTCTTAGGTGTTCATTTTCATGGTCATTAAGCTTCAGTTGTTGTGTTAGTTGAATTTTATAACCATGGAGACACAGATCTTTTGCGAGTATTCGCTGTAGACAGCTTTTTGAAATTTGCAATACTTGACCACGACGCCGAAATGACGTTCCTGGGTTTGCACCAACACTTTCATGCACTGCTCCGATATGCACATTTGAACGGCAAGTTTCTGGACGACTCGTATGTTTAGCGTCTTCAGCTGATCCAGTCTCCCTGAGTTCTTCAATTAATTTTTGCACAGTTGACGAGGTTAAAACACTATTCCGGCCATATTTTGTATAAGATTTTCGAACTGCGGACACTAAAGTTTCATTATTTTTGAAATATTGTTCAATAATGAAGACATGTTGTTGTATTGTGTAACTCTCAGCTGTCAAATTATTCTTTTTTCAAAGCTACCTACAATTTACTGCAAATATGATGCCCAGATGCCATCTTGAAATTTTCAACTGTCACTCTTATGTTAAAGTATATTACTCATACATCTACTGCATCATCCCGGATTCCAGTTTGGTATCTTGACTGAATAGAAAACTGAAAGTGAGGAGACATCATTTGTGAAAAGCGCTGGTGGTAGGCATGAGCATAGTATAAAGAAATAAGAAGTGATAAACGTATTGAACTGGGACCCAATTGTCAAGTCCTGGGAAAGTTTCTCATGGGATGATGGCAGAATAACCAGTTGGAGAACCAGCACCGTACTACCCCACAAGCCAACTACTGGTAACTGATTCTTAAATAAGCTAGCTCCAGCCATGAGAGGTATTTATCGTTAATATTGCACCCACGTGCGTGTCATAAACAACACAGGACACAACATCCATTTCACGGAATTAACTTCCGAGGCGAAGATTCGAACCCGCGAGCCCCGGGTCGCTAACTCGACGCTCTAACCACCGAGTTATCGGGGCTCCTCGAGGTTTGTATATGATACGGGAGTTATAAAAAACCAATTATTGTGATCCAGTCAATGAAGGCAAAAAATGAATTAAATAGTGTATGAAGGCAAACTGGCCAATAAAAACATATTCACGCATATTAATAGACAGTTCAATTTGGGGATTGCATTCGAATTTCACTTGAAAAAACAAACGACATACATCTGTCAAACGCAATGTGTTTACATAGTAATCAATATCTGTTTGTCCATCAAATATAGATGATCGAAAACTCGATTAAAATGAATTGAATAAATGATGACGTGGCACCGCCGGATTATTTGCCCATTCGCGAATATAAAATGTTTCAATTTCCCTTCAAAAACACATTATTCATCAATGGCGTACGATGACTAGATACTACATAATCTATGTAGATGCGAAATGATCCATTGCAAACTGGACAGCTAGATTAGAGCCGATTCACATTTACACCGCAGCAAAGTCCCTCAAAATAGAGATTTTTTTATAATCATCATATTTTTGCCAGTGCTGTGGTAATCTCAATAATTGTAGGAATCCGATGCATGTTAAGGCTTGTTATCTATAAATCAGATATATTGATAAAAAACTATTGATTGGTTAAATTTAATAATACTATAGAGATACTTGAAAAATATAGCTAAAGAGTCAAATTACTTCATAATAAAATATCTGAACAATAAATGTCCTTTCATTCTGGAAGAGGTTAAGCTTATTTTATATTATCATCTATTTTGCATGAATTCTCGATGGCTGTGACAATAGTATTTTTTCGTTTACTGGACCTTGGCCACATCAATATTTACCAAGATTAAATTTCGAAATTCTCTTCTATTTCATACTAAGTAAGCTTTTACAACAATTTTGCTGATATTCACAGAATCACAATAATTATGACAACTATGTTAGCTTTTGGTAGTGTGGAATAGAAGTAGCGATAATAAAAAGCTGATAAAAAATAGACATTATAAATGGAAGAATATGGTTTGAACGTGGCTTTGGAATGCAAGTTGTGAAAATTTGCAAACCTTTTTCAATTCAATACAATGTTTTTTTTATATCTCTGACCATGCGCGATCAGCTGTTTTCCGCTAGCTCACGGCAAATCAAGGAAACCTACAAAAACAATAGTTGATAGCTTTACGAAAACAGAGGGTAATATTGAAACCGCCACAATTCAATTTAGAGTAACGATGTGCTATTAGGTTTTGCTTTTGACTTTTCGGACCAGGTTTTTCGGTGGTTCAAGGCACTTTCTGATGAAAGAGAGTAGTTTGGAGATGAACCACAAAGCAGATTACCGGAAGGCCTTCATCTGCAAGAACCGATAGAGATATTGATATGGAAAAATAAAAAAAAAACAATCTCATTACTTATTAGACAGATGCGCCGCTACCACGGTATTCTGGATATGATTGAATTCTCTACTACAGCTTTATTCTGAATGATGTAGCTTCTCTTTGAGCTAAATGAGACATTACAAGCTGACATTTTTTGATGAAGGATGTCCCCAGGACTTTGTTCATTCGAGCCACCGTATTATATTATACGAGTGAACTTCCGACCCCCCAGAGAGACATAAAGACTACGCTAGTGGTCCCTTGTTCTCCTCGTGCTATCTGAGAAATTTTCCAGGCGACAAAGCACGTTGCAACTCCTTGTAAACCATAACAAGTTGTATAATTCAAGTTTGCCATAGCTACTTAAAGGACCTCCGGAGAAATTGTGTGTAGGAAGTGCTTTATTTGCTTTGGAAGTTCATAATCTCCCTTATCTGCTTCGGTGATGCTGAGGAGGAGAGCATCAGACAGAAGATAATGATGATTATCATGATTATTACTGGTTGATGTTGCTTCTTGACTTTGCGTACGGAAACACGTGTCTTTGACATGAAGAGTTAATTAAAGCAAGTTTTGGTGTGGCGAGAGATAACGGATCGCTTCATCAAAGAGGAGACAGTTGTCAGGTTACTCCAAAGATACAAGATCTTTTCAAAACAACAGCAGACATTGAACTGTTTTAAGACTATCATAATTTCCATAAAACAGGTTTGAATTAAAGAATCAAGACGAAAAAAACAAAATTAGCAATTATCAGCCCCGAAATCGCATGTGCAGTATTGATCTATGAAAAACTGCTCAAAACGGCGTCCACAATGTAGATTGTAAGGCTCTTGAGTATTTTCTCCATAGATCTGCGATTTTTTTGGATTACAGCAGGGTCGCCTCTTATGGAATTGCATCCAGTCGTTTATTCGTTTATGTCCACTACAGTTGTGAGCCCTAATAACACAGGATAGCCTTACATCTCGTAGGAAACAACTCAGGGATCTGTTTCCGTGCTTTACAACACTAGCATCTGTTGACGACTACATCCGAAATAAGGATACCAAGATACCTCAATTAACGGAGCTTCGGTAACTTGTAACAACAGGAAACGAAAATGAAAATTTTTTTATTGAAAATGTTTAACGTTTAAATGCACACTGGCGTTCACGCAAGAAATAGGCATGAGGTTCAAAAGCAGGCTGTGTGGCGAAAGTTGATAATGGCATACTTTCCAATAAAAGTTACGACTTACGTAAAAAGAAGAACAATTTTTTCCAAACGATACAAAGCAATATCTGGTGCTGCATTTTCAATGGCTTAGCTTTTCTAGATAATAGCAGACGGTGCCCCACCGCATCTTCGTCGTGTCATAACTTCATGGTTAAATAATCATTTTAGATAACGATGCGTTTGGCAGAAACGGACCCGTACATTGGCCTGCGAGGTCTCCTGATTTGAAGCCCCTTGATTTCTTTTTGTTGGGCGCTTTTAAACAATAAGATAATCATCAAGCCACAACAAATTTCTTCATTGAAAAGATGGCGCGCTTTTATCTCTCAGAATGGTGGTCTTTTTGAACATTTATTGAAATAAAGCTTTGATTATCTATTTTGTTTTTTTTTATTTTCAGGAAAACAATGCACTATAGGAAAAACACAAGAGTAATTATTTGTAGCAAATTGAAGGCAAAATTTCTGAAAAAAATAGTGGCGTACTATTTTTATTTGTATAAATAATGCACTAATCCCCTGTACCTCCGCCACTGGTGCACGTTAATTTTCAGTAAATACTTGTGAATGTGGACAATACTTGTGTAAATCCACATACCAAATTTTAGTTCATTCCAGTTGACGTTTTTGAAGACACTAATTTTTTTTTCATTTTTAACTTTTCATGGAAGCCCTTGAGGAAGAAATGTTTCATATAAGGCCCCCCTCAAAATGCGGTTCTGTGTATGATGTTTCATTTTTGGATTTCAACGTTATCCCAGAGTACAGTATTTTTTTTATATTCATTCCAAACGGGGGTTTTGTCATTTTTTGTTACTAACATTATATTATGGAATTGTGTCGAATGAAAAGCCACGTTAACGAATATATAGTTATTAATCCTCTATTTACTGGATAAATGAAGGAAATGAATTATTAAGCAACACTTTGTTCTAATATTAAACGTATAAAATATTTTCTTTATCAAGCTAGTCACTAGTTATTGGTTCAAGTTTTATCTAACTCGTCCGAACGACCTTGCAAGGAACAAGGCTCAGCAGGAAGCCAATATAATAAATCGGTGGTTTAACTTGAAACTAATGTTGCGATCATATTACTTAAACTACATATAAAGGTACTTCATTAAAATAAAATATCAAATACTTACAATAATATATTTTAATAAAAAATGCTCAGTACTCGTTGCTTGGACGCTATCGTAAAACTGAGAATGTATTTGTGAAAATATTTTCAAAATAATTTTACACCTATAATTCTACCTATATCGATATTTTTATATACCGAAGCAGCCGCTGAGGCGGAAGTCTAAATAAATACCAGGACACCACGGCTACTATGAGGAGCTTAAAGAAACTTTGTTAATCCGATTTTTGAACTGTCAAAGGGTAGTAGAACTGGGAAAGCCTCCTCTGGTAGATCGCTCTACAATCTCGATATCTAAGAAAAAAGGAGCGGTCGTATCAATCATTTCTTGATGAAAGAAGTTCAAAACGGTTAGGTTGGGAGTTCGAAGTCAGGCGGGTCTTTCTGGCAGGCATATCGCTAGGCGGCATTATGGAATAGGACTCCGAGGAGCAAAGCCCGTAGGCATCGCGGTAGAGGAAAGATAGAGCGCCGACGACCCATCGCATCGGTGCGAAAGAGTTCCGAGACTGTCCATTAGAGAAAAGTCATCGATCAGTCTGACAGCCCTCCTCTAAACACCATCGAGCATGGATAATATATTTGGTGTGGCAGCAATCGAAATATGTGAGCTAGTACTCGAGGCAAGGCTTGAACATAGTGAGGAGGTTATCTGTAGAGTAGTACTTCTTAGTCCTAAACAAATGGGCTAGCTTTTTCCAGCAGCTGCCGCTATTGGCGAGATGTGTTCATCGCAGATCAAGTCGTCGGTGACTCTAACCAGCCAAAATTATTATTATTATTATTATTATGATAATTGAGCAGAGTACACAGTACTATAAGCTCATGCAGTAAATATAGTGTACGGACACGTAACACAAATACATCAAATAGAAAAAAATAAAAAAAATACAGTTCACAGCCATAAAGTTTGTACACTCCTCCAGCTATCATACTGCACTTTGAAGCTATTAACTGAAGTAGCACTAACCACACTTTCAGGTAAACTATTCCAGGTGTTGAGTATGCGGTTGGGAAGAAACCACTGTCGGACTGTTGTTTTAAATGGCTCCTTATGCAGTTTGAAGCTGTGTCCGCGTAGATTGCTGCGCGACAGATGGTATAGATGCATGAGGTTGGTGCCCATCAAACCATGAAGTATCCTGAACGTAACTATAAGATCGCCACGAAGTCTTCGCTCAGAGAATGAGGTCAGGTTGAATAATTCAAGGCGATCTTCATAGCTTGGTCTTCGTGCTCCAAAAGGGATACGAGTAGCCCGACGCTGTACTGATTCGACGAGATTTCTATCG